GGAGAAGGCCGCATATTATTTTGTATAATACGTTGCTCAAAGGCTATGCGAAGAGGGCAAACGTGAGGCGCGGGTTTGAGATTATTAAGATTATCGAGGAGGCCGGAATTAAGCCCGATGAAACGGTACGTGCTTTAACGTTTTTGAGTTTGCCTTGGCGCGAACAACCTCGCCTTTTTCTAATTGTCTACTCTTTCTGTTTCGTTGTGTATCATTTTCTGGTATGTGAATGCTTTACAGACGTTCAACACACTGCTCAATATCTGCGTTAGGGCAAAAGATCAAAGGTCTCTTGATCAAGCTATGAGCCTCATGCACAAGCACAAAGTCAAGCCAGGTGCGCCCACGTTTAACACACTCCTCAAGCTTTACGCCCGCGCCGGTAAATTCGACCACGCTCTGGCCATCTACGAGGAAATGCAGCAGACAGTCGAGCCATCTATTGTCACGTTCAACACCATGATTGATGGGTGCGCGCACCGCGGGGACATGGAGCAAGCTGTAAAGTTCTTCGATGAAATGATAGAACGAGGGATGAATCCGGATATTTGCACTATGACGTCTCTCTTGAAAGGTTTTGGGCGGGCCCGAGACCCGCAGAGAGCAGTCCAGCTATACGAAGCCATGAAGCAAGGCGGTTATCAAATCGAGGAGAGGACCAGGTATGCTGTGATCAATGCCTGCTTACGCGGTAACGATCGGGAAAATGCGCGACGTTTGATGCGTGAAATGCTTGAGACCGGTCTCACTATTCGTGCGCGAACGTGGATATGGATGCTGGAAAGCGATATATGGGCCGACGATGACGGGGGTCGCGCTGGCGGCCGCGCGGCGGGGGCGGCGGCGATTGTCGGCGGGGCGTTGCGGCAAAGTGTTTGTCTGCAAATAATGTACACGTAGTTTCTTGGTTCTTGCATCAACTTTCAGTGCATTCAAGCTCAACTCCCTCGCGCGTCTGTACCGAGGCAGGGCACGAGCCATACCACTACTCGAGTACCTCAGCATCTGATAAAACATACTAACGACAGTGCCTGACGCTCTTTTTTTGCCCTTGTTGCTATCGTTGAAGCCGGCTGAGACAGGAGAGAGTGACGCACCGTAGCTACTTGGACCCTTCTCCTACTTCTTTTCATTTTAGCGCTGCGGTCTTGCGTTGCTCTTGCTTCATTTTGATACAGAACCGTGCATCTCGCACCATCTCTTCAAAGAACGCCTCTCATTCCCATACGTATGCGCCGTACCGTCTCTCTATATCTCAATATCCGGCTAGGGAAAGCGTCGCTGGGCAACAGTGAAAAAGCCAAGCTCCTGCGCCCGCAGTACGGCACGAACGGGGCATACCGTGCTGTAAATTCGGCGGACAGGCTGGCAAGCGAAAGCCCCAAGAAACCACTACAGTACCCTGAAATCCCGCCCGAGAGGGGAAGAGACGGTGCAGGCAAATAGAACAACGACCGATGCGACTTTTCTGCCGAGAGCTAGAGGGAGGGCCGTGCGTCCTGGCAAAACGTCCCGTCCGTGAATGGAACCAGAGCGCCACACACGACGGACCTCGTCTGATGATGTCACGAGTCAAAAGAAGCGACGTACGGTACGCACAAAAATGGACCAATTTCTGAAACGTCTACAGGTTTTGGCCACCTCACTGTTTGTGTGCACGGATGCATGCAAACAGCACCGCACTACAAAACAAGTAACACCCTGTCAAGGTGCCACTCTCCCAAGGAAGACAGAGAGTGAGAAGCGTAGCGTACCTCCTGAGGACGTGCCTGAGCTCCCTGTTGCCACCGCCATTGCGCAGAAAATCGCTCGCTTCCACAGAAACTTCAAAAGCTGTCGGCCTTCACCACACGAAACGGGATGAATCGATGTCCATCGTGTATCCTTCATATTCATCGTCAACCCATGCATAAGTCCCATGCATGTCTCATGCTCATGAGACAGGGGCGATAGCATCCCCATGAGACAGTAGAGTGCATCAGGCTACGTTTCGCGCCCACTGACGTTTCCTGAACACAGGTCACGTATTACTCTCTTTTGCACGCTGCAGAAGATTCCAGACGACGCGGCCAGTAAACCGGGATTCTCAAGATTTTACATGTAAAAAAACGAAACACCACAGGTGCCGCCACGTACCGTACAATAGAAACGTCTGTGCCTGGCCGAGAGGATAAGGGAAGTGTAACTTACACCTAGACCACCAGCTTCATAATAGCTACCCGGCTGCCAGCCGCTGCAACAAAGACCCCATGATTATCGTCTACCTCCCACCAGATTACCGTACTCTCCAGCTGCGCCAAAACAGCCTCAGAGCCATCCTCTCGCTCATGCACAATTTTCCCCCTGCTCTCAAAAACCTTGAGCCTTTTGTGCCTATGTCCAGTGCGAGAGACGGCACGTAAGTTTTCTGCATTCAGAAATCTCTCCACGATATCTTGCCAGTCCTCCAACTTTCCGAGATGAACTGTACTCCCTTTCTCCACGTCCCAAACGCGTACGCTCCTGTTCCAGGATCCAGATACTGCACGTTTTCCATCACCACTCATCCCAACGCGAGACACCAAACTCGTGTGTCCAGTTAATGCGTCGCCGATTTGCAGTCCTGTGTCCACGTCCCAAACTCGTACGCTCATGTCCCGGGATCCAGATACTGCACGTTTTCCATCACCACTCATCGCAACGCTATCCACCTCACCCGTGTGTCCAGTTGGTGCGTCGCTGATTTGCAGTCCTGTGTCCACGTCCCAAACTCGTACGCTCTCGTCATACGATCCAGATACTGCACGTTTTCCATCACCACTCATCGCAACGCTCTCCACCCGATCCGTGTGTCCAGTTAATGCGTCGCCGATTTGCAGTCCTGTGTCCACGTCCCAAACTCGTACGCTCTCGTCCCAGGATCCAGATACTGCACGTTTTCCATCACCACTCATCGCAACGCTCTCCACCCAATCCGTGTGTCCAGTTAATGCGTCGCCGATTTGCAGTCCTGTGTCCACGTCCCAAACTCGTACGCTGTCGTCATACGATCCAGATACTGCACGTTTTCCATCACCACTCATCGCAACGCTAGACACCAAACTCGTGTGTCCAGTTAATGCGTCGCCGATTTGCAGTCCTGTGTCCACGTCCCAAACTCGTACGCTGCTGTCCCGGGATCCAGATACTGCACGTTTTCCATCACCACTCATCGCAACGCTAGACACCCGCGATTCATGACCGCAGTCACTCCACAAAATTTTCTTTTCCGATACACTCCAGAACTGTAGTGTCCCATCACCATATCCGATAACTGCATAGCGTTTGCTCATACTGACACAACCGCATGTTAATTCTCGGCTCCCCGTTCCAAAATCGTTGTCTAATTCAGTCATCTTCATTTCCTTGTCCGGAGACTGTGTGAAAACTGTGATCCTGGTATAGCCCAGGTCCGAACAGTGTCCATACACGCCACCGGTTGAGTCCATGCCGACTTCGTAAACGATATTCGGAAGCACAATCTGCTCCACCAAACTTCCTCCCGCTCGCCCTACACATTCACTCACAGGCCGCACCCATGGTCGTGGCGCGTGTTCCTCGATTTCCTCGAGTATCCTTCGCACGCTTCCTAATTGTGATGCCCTGTGCTTGATTCTTCCGTACAGTTGAAAGTAAATCCCTGCACTGCTTTCACCACAAAAAGGTACACTCAGTCGTGCAGCTCTCATCATCAATTCCATCGCATACACCGAATCTTCTTCTCCCGTATCCCTTAAAAGGCTCTCGCTTGCTCCCGTGTTCCTCAAAAAGCTATTTAGATCCTTTACAGCTTCCTCGTATTGCAACACACTTCCTCTCTGTATCACTGCCTTCACCCATCGCGCTCTCAAAAATAGATTCTTCAGCTCCTCCACATACCCGCCCTGTTTCAGAACGCGATATATATTCTCGAAAACATACTTCTCTCTTGCATCCTTGCTCTCTCTGCCCTCGCTCTCAGTCATAGCAAGCAGTCCCCCTCCCTGCCTGCATACATCTGCCAACTTCTTATACCAGACCGTTACACTTTCCTCCTTCTGCGCCTCCTGCACCGCAAAATCGTGCGTCAGATCATGCATCCGTACCCACCCACAATCCTTGTCGTAATGAAGGTCTACTAATCCAACCCTTTCCATCTGCTTCGCATACTTTTCAGCCGAGTCGTAGTCCATTTCCCACAACTCTCTTACCAACGACAAAGGCATCCCGTCTTGCTTCTTCATAACACACAGACTCCGATGTATCTTTCGAAACGAAAACTGACCTAACCTCTCCGCATCGCTCCCCATGCCGGGCTGCAGAATCTCTAGTGACGCATGTAATGTCGCGTCTAACGACAACAAATACCCATCCCCTGGACTCTCACTACGAATCGTGTTACGGCTCTTCATCTTCGAAAGGTATGCCTCCCACGCTTGTGACTTTTCTCCCTCCCATCTATCTCTCATGTACCTGACACCCGTCCCGGCTACGTTCAGAGCCAGCGGCAAACCAGCACACAATTTCAATATTTCCCTCACGGCCTCTTTGCATCTCGGATCATTCGCTTCCTCCGGGTTCGCCCCGCTGGCAAGCATGAGCATGTGAACTGAATCGCTCCCTTCCCTTTCCCTCGGCTCGAAAGTCACTCGCTTACCCACCTGTTTCAGCTCTGAGTCCCTCGTGGAATACAGAAGTCTGCTCCTCTCTCGGCTGTCTCCCGCTGTGTCAGCGAGAATGGATAACTTCTGAAGAATACACGCATCTATACCATTCATGGCCCACACATCATCAATAATGAACAGACATGCACGTGTGTTGAACCATGCTCGCATCTTGGTCAGTACCCTGCTCAACTCGCTTTGCTCTCGCATTTTCCCAGCCGCCTGGTTGCCACCAGACGCCTCTACGGCTATACACAGTTGCTCAATCAGCCGCCCTACGTTGGCGTCTTTCCCCAAAGACATGAAGTACACTCCGCCTAAAAACTGAGCCTTGATGTCATCGTCGTACGCAATCGCTCGAAGAGCGCATGTCTTCCCGACTCCGCCCTTCCCCGTTGCCGTCGCTCCTATATGTGTATTCCTATCGGTACTAAGCACGGCCTCCTTTAGCCGCGCCTCACACGTATTCGGTGATCCATCGATCCCCCGAGAATTCAGTTGCAAATATATTTCTTCGGGATTGTGCTCTGCGAGTATACAGGGCGTGAACACATCAACCGTACATCGTGCGATGGACGTGATGGCAGCGTGGGTTTCAACTTGGCTTTTTGTATTCAAAACTTCTCCCGCTTCATCACTTGAGTCCTCATCACTTTTCTTTTTCACCCACAGAAATACTCGCTCCACAAGATTTGCCCTTGCATCATGGCCGAATACATCTCCCGGTAGGTTTGTTGCCCTTTCGTCATTTTCAATCCCAGTGATACCTGCCAGCTCTTGTAGCTCCCTCTTCACCATATCCGTGCTCGCTTCGCGCTGTCGTTCCTCGCTAAAAAACTTCTCAACTTCAAAAATATTATTTCCTTCATCATCCCAGTACCGCTTGGGCTCCAACTCTCTGCATTCACGAATACTTAGTCTGTAAAACACCGGAATCAGTGTCGGTGGTCGCATCCCACTCCCTATCGCCTCACTTCGTCGGCGTAGGAAGCAACGCAGTTCCCTCATCGTCCACTTTCGAGCCGCAAAGTCGGGAGAAAGGATGAAAACACCGACCTTCGCAGACTCCATAGCCTTCGTCATTTCATCCGCTCCGCAGTCCCCGGGCTCCATCGAGATTTTGTCGAGGAAGCAATTTAAACCATGAGCTTGCAATTTCTCGAAAAGGGGACGTGCGATGTGTAGCTTGTCCGGGCCAGCATGGCTTATGAACACATCGGTAGAGTGCATCTTTCTCCG